CAGCCACGTGGCAAGGTATAGATTTATAGAAATGGGTTAATTTAAGATAAAAGAACAGTTAGCAAGAAGCCTGCCACGGCCATACAGTTTATAAGTAATATAAGGGTCTGAGTGATTATTTTATATGTGGACTGTGGGACTGCGGGGCTTGGTGGAACCTGGAGAGAAACCCTCCAGCAACAGTAATGAAACACGGAATGGTGGGGATTTAAAACTATCATTCCAAGACCCTTTAAACATACTGGAGTCAAAAAGGCCATCTCTTGTCTCTCACTGTGGATTCAAGTTCAGAGGCCGTCTCTGCTCTGTCTAGGGTGTGGACAAGTTGTTTAATCTCTCTCGGGCTTGATGTCCTCATCTGGAACAAAGATTAACCCCTGGCCACAGATAAGATCCTGCATGTAATGCACCTACCACGTTGTGCCAGATACAACAGCAAGGAAATAGAATTATTTTAAGCACATGTGTCAATGTGATGTTTTTTAATAACAGCAATAGCATTCTAAAGAAGTGAAGACCCTCTATTGTAAGTTTCACTGGAGTTGCTGGGTATAGGATTAAATCATTCTTTCCAAGACTTTAAAAATATCTGGTCCTTCAGTTTTAAATAGCTGGTCCATGGAAGGTTCTATAGACTTCTACTCCCCCACCCACCCACATTTGTGTCCATTTCTTCTTTGTACCATCTGTATCAAAGGTCACCACTTAGTTTTGAATCTCAACTCGAGACGGTATTTTTTAGAAAGATTCACAAGAAAGACCCAGTTCCCATTTCTGTTTTCAAGGTTGCAGCATTCTTAATTGTATGTCCAAGAACTTGAGTCACCATATGCTCTCCTCAGCTAACAGGTCCTTCCTAGGTCATGGCAGACACAGTTCTAGATGTTGCAGGTCATCCAGCAAAGCCAGGTGGTTTTCAAGTTTACCTAGGTCAAGAGAAGTAAGCAAGGTCAATGCAAAAGGAGATCACACTGTAAATAAACAAGCCATGTAGGCCATGAGTGGGTGGGGTCAGTGAGGGAGCGAAGGACAGGTTACTTGCCCTGGGTAGTCAGAGTGAGTCTGTCAGAAGAGGAGGCTGGCAGCTGAGCTGGCCTGAGTGACAGAAGAAAGCTGTCAAGTGATGTCTGGATGGACGGTCTGACGAGGTCAAAGGCCGTAGAGTAAGAATGAATTTGGCATGTCCAGGAATGGGTGCCACTCTGGGGTGCCTGGAGCACACTGAGGGAGGGAGCATGTGGTGTATAGATAGAGCATAGAGACAATAAGAACTTTCCCACGGAAAACCGCTTGAGGGTTTTTGTTTGTTTGTTTGTTTGTTTGAGGATTGGTATCATCTGATTTCTGTTTCCACAGGAAATAGATTTTTAGGAAAACAAAAGTAAAAGCAGAAAAAAAAAATCCTTTCATGTCACTTCTGTTTCCCATGAAAGAGAAAGTGAAATTAGTTTCCCACCGGAAGTGCTTGCACTTTGGTGGTGAGTGTGTAGCCTTTTGAAAGCTCATGATTTCTATTTTCTGGAAACTATATTTGGATCCTTCTGCCAATGACTCATCAAGTAACCTTTCTTAGGAAATTTAGCAAGGCTGAGTATCTCCTAGAAAAGGCCAGGTTTAGTTTAGGGAAGGCAGAGGCACACTTGAGGAGCTCAATTTCATTTTCTCCAACAATCCCATTACTCAGACCTTTTCGTTCTCTCTCAACATAAGTCTGAGGACTAGAGAAAATAGTTTGCCCATTAATTTCCAACTCATGCTCTCCAGTGTGAGCATGTTAACTAAAATGTCCTCACACAGGGCAGGTGATTATATTAGGATATAGTCACAAGACCCTTTGGACAGTCAAGCTTTCACCCATAGGAAGCAAGTTGCCTTGGTGTGTGTTGGTGAAATAAATGGGTTAAAGCCCCAAACAGAACAAACCTTAAGTGAAGACCTCAGTAATGCCAGTGACGGGTGGTGTTTCAGCTGCCACTTGGGATAGCTCCTTCTCAGGAACTGACGGGAGGAACAACTTTGCTTCCTGTACCCTGTCTTCTTTCAGCTGCCGGGGTTTCCTCCTCTAATTTAACGACTGATGTTGCAAACCTACAAAGTAAGCCTAAAGCTGTTGTGGGATAATCTTTTCATACACTGTGAAGATGTGTCTTTTCCAAGGCACTTTCTGATTGGTTTAATAAAGAGCTGAATGAGCAATAGCTAGTCAGGGAGAGGTTGGGTGGGACTTCCAGGCAGAGAGAAAACAGGAGATGAATCTAGAGGAAATAGGAGGTAAAGATGGAAGAGAGGAAAAAAGCCATGAGGTAAAACATAGATTTTAAAAAATAGATTAACTTAAGTTATAAGAGCTAGTGGTACAAGCCTAAGCTATAGGCTAAGCTTTCATAATTAATAAAAAGTCTCTGTCATTTTTTTTTTTGTGTGAGCTGGCAACCCAGAGAAAAAATCCATTTACATAAAGCCAGGCACAGTGGCTTGTGCCTGTAATTCCAGTACTCAGGAGGCTGAGACAAGAGGGTTGGGTGAAAGTTCAAGGTCAGCCTGGGCTACACAGTGAGTTTGAGGTTAGCCAGAAGTTTGATAGAGAGCATCTGTTTCAAGAAGCAAAACAAAAGACCCTTCCCCCACCCACATTTTAAAAAGTAAATCAAGACTAGGTTTTTGGAAAAGGCCCATGATTAATTTTATGTTTAATTTATATAGCTAGTCATTAAAATCCACCAAGAAATATTTAACAATAGAATCAGTGCAGTATATCTGTTACATAGAATCCTGGATTTAAGCTCAGCCAACACATCAGGTAATGTCACTAACAAGAACTTGCCACTAGAAAGACCCCCCAGTAAAACACCTACTATGTGTTAAACACCATTAAATAGGAGAAGAGATGTAAATAATATATTGCAGTGTTTTTCCTTATCAGACTCATGTCTCTTCGTTGCTATTGCTGATTTTTTTTTTGTTCAAATCCTGTCTTATGACAATTCCAAATTCTTGAATATTTAATGAAGTACATGCATCTGAACTTTAAAGAAACCACTTGTATAACAAACGCCTGGGAGGGCAGCACACGAACTGACCTTTGTCCAAGTAGGCAAGACACACAGAACTCTTTTGTGTTGTCAATCACAACAAAGCTTGGAGAGGCTGGAGGGAACAATGTGGGTACTTGAAACATGCCATGCCAAAAGAGAGGGCTTGGCTTGATATAGAACACCAGTGATTTATACAGTCTGGTGAGTCACGGATGTCATATCTGGATTATGTACCCGTGAACACTGGTTGAGGGCAGCCAGACTATCCAGAGTGTCGTCACTAAAATCACCATCACATGACAGTGCCTCCTGAACTGGACAGCGAGAACCGAGACCCAAGCAACACACAGACAAGCAGTCAGGCTGGAATCTGACTGCTGCCTTCCACTTAGAGTCTCAAGGGCGACGTTACAAAAGAAGGTGTTTAAAAGCCATGAGAGGTGTGGTGGCTCCATGGGCAAAGGGCAAAGGTGCTTGCTGACAAGTCTGGAGAACTGACTTTGATGCCTGGGATCCACATGATGGAAGGAGAAACCAATTCCCCTAAGCTGTTCTTTGATATCCAGACACATGTGCATGCTCTCTCTGTGTCTCTGTCTCTGTCTCTCTCTCGTCATGATGTATTCCTTGCAATATTAGATCCTTTTGTCTATTTAATATAGATTTGAAGACTATAAAGTGGGCCCTCAATGAAATGTTCTAGATGACATAAGTCACGAACCCTCACTTCTGGAATTAGGTTAAACACCATGGACATAATGAAAATGTAGTATTAAGCTCTATTAAAATGGCGGTAGATGTAAACAATACCTACTCATTTATTAGAACTTAGAATCTTTAGTTATACACCATTCACTTAATTGTTCCAATATCCATTCAAAGCAGGTGCTGTTACCCATGCTTTATAGATGAGAAACAGAAGTCTGCTGGGAGCCGCAGAGATATGAAGTAGGAATTCAGACTATGACAAAGTTACACCTGGAAGAAGCCAAGGGACTTTCCAGAGGGTAAAGCCAGGGCTTAAGGAGTCTTGGTGATACGGGCTTTTGAATATTAGCCGTTTCCTGCGATGAATTTCTCATGTGCTATTGCAGCTTTTCCATTCCTAAGAACAGTGTGTTTGATCATTCATTGGGCACAATTTCCCCATCACTGTTGGAATATTTGGACAACCTTCTCCCAGCTGTGCTACAACAGACACAGTCAGGACCCCTAATTTCAGGTCTTTCTGTAATTGTCATCATTCGCAACATCTGGCCAGGACCTTTTCCGGTTGAAAGTATCTTATCTGAGATTCTTCCCAGACTTTCTAAGAACAGACTTAAGCATCCAAACTATCTGAGAAGGCCTGGAGGATGTGCTAATTAAGCTTAACCTTCTTTCTTCCAAATGCTATCTCTGCTCTAGTTTAATTAATTCAGCACTAAAGAGTTTTTACTTACCAGGTACATCAGTCTGTGACTCAGTTTCCCCAGCCACCCAGTACACTCCCCTGCCCTGCCATAAAACTGCAGCAGTCAAGACAGCTTGGATAGATAAGAGGCCAAAGGAAAATAAGGCAGTTTTATTTTCACTGGTCGCTAATAGACTCCTCACACTTTACCTAGCCACTTTTAAGAATGTAGCTTGAGCACATAAATTCCCTTTTTCAAATCTATTAACCCAATTTAGCCTCAGTTGATCCATTACCCATTAGTCACTTCCCTTTTGGGTTGCAGATGATGGCTGACAATTACTGATCTTTTGTGTGGATCTTACCACCTCTCCTTTTGACCCTGAGGGAATTCAAGCCTGGAGAACTTGCCTTAGCCAGAGCATTGCTATTGTGAAGGTATATAACTGTAAACCTCAGGTTTTGGCTCTGTTTAGAATTGGTTATTAAATATTGTCAGGTTTAAGGTGGAAACTCGAGCCGTTGGGCGCCATTTGTTGCTGGAGGGCTTCTCTCCAGGTTCCCCAAGCCCCGCAGTCCCACAATCCACATATAAAAT